ATCTCCGCCCCCCCCTCCTCGAAAAGCTCAAGAAGGTTTGCTGTGTTCGCTGCCAAAAAAAAACTTCTAGCCACGAAGAAAAGCTCTTGGCGTCTCCGCTGAACGTGGGCGCTGTGTACTTCACGCTTTGGTATCCCACGCTCGCACTACCGAAGACAGCAGCACCACTTCCCATGGCGCTGCTGAAACAAGCTTGATTGTGAGCAGCGGCTACTCTCACCTCTTGGGGGTCTGAACCCCCTACTTCGCCGCTGTGTCGTCCCGAAGGACCAGACTCTCTTCGCAGGTCCGCTGCCTGCGCGCTCCCGTCGTACTGCACGGTCCCAAAATGACCTGCAGTGCTTGTGGCGACGCTCTCCACGGCGCCGCCGCTTTCAGCGGCGCCCTCCGTGGCACCGCCGGACTTCTCCTCTATACGTGCAGCAAGTCCTCCGACCAGCTGCACCAGCTGGCCCATTTGCTGTGTCAGCGAACTGATCTCAGACCGCATGCTGTCGATCTGCTCGCTGCTATTTGTGTCTCCTGCCTGCGAGCCGTCCGGAGTGGTCCCTCCGGTTCTGCGGCCCGCCATCCCTTATGGACTCCCTCGAGGGAATAACACTAGTGTGTTAGTATGTTCGTACTTGGGAGGAGAAGACACGCTTTAACTCTCTCTGATTAGGCACCCGCGGGAGCGAGGAAAGGAAGGGAAGAAGTGGCCCTCCCGAATTCGGGGAAGGGGGCCCACACATAGTAGCCTTTTTCAGGCATACGCATGCTCCTGTCTACGTAGCCCCCCCGTGCTGCTAGCAGATCTACCATGCTCGTATCCAGACACACGAACANGCCATTGCTCCACACATGCCCTCGTTCGAACCTAGCAAGCCACTAGGAAGTCACGAGGGAGCCAAGTCCTGCTCGCAGGTTCTCTTGGCTTTCCATCAGGTGAACCCGTCCAGGAATACAGTATCCGCAGCCGCCGCAGTAGTACTGTACTGTGTAGACTAGTAGTAGCAGGAAATCCAGGTTGTACCCATCCGTTGTCCAAACAAAGATTTGTGATTCCGTGAGAGAAGGAGATACCACCGCCGTCGAAGGGTCGNGAGATACCACCGCCGTCGAATGGTCGAAGGCACTGTCTGCCAGATGTAGGCTGTGAGATAGATGGAGCCATCTATGTGTTCTTAGCCTGCCCGCCCGTGAGGGTCGTGACGAGGCCGGTTCCAATGTGTGTGCATATGTGGGAGGGATCTGAGGTTCTGTGTTCCGTAGATGAAGGGACATACGATGGTACCTCTTGGGGTAGACTTTCGATGAGTCAGCGGTGCCCCCATGCTGCGTCAGCCTGCGTGGGACAGTCTCTTTCTCCCCTGTCTGTCGTGCGTTAGTCCTGCGGATCTAATACAAGCCATCAACGAGACTTTCTATAGTCACTGGACACAAATACGGGCATACCCGGCATAATAAGACTCCGGCTCTAGGAGTTATCAACACTCTAGAGTTAGCTTTCTCCATCGTCCTTGCAAGGAAACGAAAGAGCCCGTGTCAGCAACATGTCGGGAGGAGTCTTGCAGCAGGAGCTCGCCGCTAGACTCGGAGGTGTTAAGCGGGCGTTGACAGAACGTTTTGAGGAGAAGCAGACCAGGGCCGAGGCGAGGATGGAGCAGCCACTCGGTAGCTTCGAGGGACTTTTGCTCCAGCAGCCCACGCGAGACGGAGGAGGAGGGTCACACGGCGCCGTGGTGGACGGGGGCGCCGTGGGGGGTGCGGTTGGAATCCCAGGGGGAACCGGGAGGGNGACTTTTGCTCCAGCAGCCCACGCGAGACGGAGGAGGAGGAGGGTCACACGGCGCGGTGGTGGATGGGGGCGCGGTGGTGGATGGGGGCGCCGTGGGGGGTGCGGTTGGAATCCCCGGGGGAACCGGGAGGGGTTCCGCCGCAGGGAACCTACCCGATAATGTGGGCCCTGGCGCTCGGGATAGCGGCGGCGTCAGCGGTGGAGTAGCGGGCGGCACAACACACGAGCCTATTGATCGCGGGAAAAGTACTCGGTCCGAGAGAGCTAGAGTATTGCATTCATGGCGATTCTGGTGAATGTCGACTTGTCGCAGAGGAGAAAAACCGCGCAATACTGCTGTGTTTTTGAAGGAGGGCTAACAACAGCGCGGCGTTACCGCGGACACTTCCCGCGGACACTTCATTTCTGTTTATTCGTGGGTGATTTCTTGAGTGACCTTGCCTGTGACGAATGATACCGAAAGTTAATGAAGGGGATTCGCAATTCAGGCGTTTCTGTTTCTGATTTGGTGTTCGTAGAGCGTCTGTAGTTTCGCTTGCGATGATGCAGCCAATGGTGATGTTTTCGAAAGGTGATTCACGGTTCGGGCGTTTCAATTCTTGAGTGTGAGTAGTTTGTCTTCATTCCATGATATACCCGAGCATTTATGGCGGTCTCATTCTCGGAGGATAAGCTAGATGAGCGTGAGGCCTTGTAAGGTAGGGAACCCACCACACCCAGCCCCAACACTCCACGCTCCCAGGTGTAGGGGGGGCGACGTGGGTTCTTAAGAGTGTGCTTTCCAGATGTAGGGGAAGGTACTAAGACGCGCCCCCACATGTAGGGGGGATAGCGCAAAAATTCGATGGTGTGCTCTCCAGATGTAGGGGAGGGATACTAACACGCGCCCCCAGATGTAGGGGGGGCAGCGACAACAGACGCACCCCAGACGTGGGGCAGTAGTTTCTTAACTGGCGCGTTCCCAGATGCAATGGGGGCGACGCGAGTCCAAGCTCTCCAGATGTAGGGGAGGGCAGCAGTTCTTCACCGGCGCGCCCCTGGACGTAGGGGGGGCGACACGGGTATATGCTCTCCAGATGTAGAAGAGCGCAGCATTTCTTCACCTCCACGCCTCCAGATGTAGGGGTGGCAGCGCAGGTACTTTCGGCTGGGCGGTTCTCCAGATGCAGGGGGAGCAGCAAGGTCATCACAGATCTCCGCCGGCGCGCTCCCAGATGTAGGGGGGGCAGTGTAGGCATTTGCTTTTGATGTCGGCGCGCTTACCAGGGTGGTGAGCAGCAGCAGGGGTCTTTGCTGGTGGGTTGGAGGAGCCGGAGCCCGCTCGGCAACGGAGTCAAGACCCCTGCCGAGACCGACATTTTGCGGTTGGTACCGTTAGCAGAGAATCCTCGTAGCAGTTTTGAGTTTTTTGTGTGTAGTCGCAAAATATGGGTGGGAATCCAACGTTGCGTTAAGCCAAAGTTGATGAACGTGCATGTATCTGACGACCTCCCCTCAATAGTCGCTACCGTGTTTGTATCGTATCAATGTTTTCCCTTGCTGTTTGATTGGTCGCGTAGGACATTCGCAACAGCGAAACTCAAAAGATGGATGTCACGGGGGAGAACTGTGGCATTTCATGCGCAGTGACGTTTTAGGTATTGATCTGATGTTCTNACCGACATTTTGCGGTTGGTACCGTTAGCAGAGAATCCTCGTAGCAGTTTTGAGTTTTTTGTGTGTAGTCGCAAAATATGGGTGGGAATCCAACGTTGCGTTAAGCCAAAGTTGATGAACGTGCATGTATCTGACGACCTCCCCTCAATAGTCGCTACCGTGTTTGTATCGTATCAATGTTTTCCCTTGCTGTTTGATTGGTCGCGTAGGACATTCGCAACAGCGAAACTCAAAAGATGGATGTCACGGGGGAGAACTGTGGCATTTCATGCGCAGTGACGTTTTAGGTATTGATCTGATGTTCTGTTCGTTGCGTGAGAGGTCGTTCCAACGCTTGCAATCCAAATTGCCGTGCCCCCTGACACACACGCAATAAGTTGAATGATTGTGTTTCTTCATGCCTGATGCTGTATTTCAGCCAGCGTTGGTATTTTTTCATATGCCTTCCCCTGAAAATGTTGAGATGATCATCCGAACCATCGATTTAGTTTGGTCCGCTTGGTATGTCGCTATGTTGGGGAATTGGAGGAGGTAAGACGCCAAAGTTAACACTGCATTCGGCCTTCGTTTCTAGGAAATTGGAGTAGTTGAGATGACAACGAGGATGTTTTGTTTGGTAGTAGTAGAATCATTGCGAGGGTTTTTGGCTCGGTGGCCGGGTTTTCCCTTGCAAGGCATTTTTTCTGTGTGATTTTCGGTGATACCCGAGCACGTTGAGCAACACACGGTGATGGTTACTAATGTGAGGAACCAGGGAGGGTGTTCGTGCGTGTGCATATGTGGGAAGGATCTGAGGACGGTTCTGTGTTCCGTAGATGAAGGGACATACGACGGTACCTCTTGTGGTAGACTTTCGATGAGTCAGCGGTGCCCCCATGCTGCGTCAGCCTGCGTGGGGCAGTCTCTTTCTCCGCTGTCTGTCGTCCGTTATTCCTGCGGATCTATTACAAGCCATCAACGAGACTTTCTAGTCACTGGACAAAAATACGGGCATACCCGTCATAAGACTCCGGCTCTAGGAGTTATCAACAGACACTTCACATGGCGGGGAAGTGATCGAAAGGCGAGTCTTGCCACAACACCAGGAAGTTTCGTGGTCAGACATCCAAGAATAGCGGTGATGGGAAAATGAAAAATAATGAAAGGTAAACACATACGGTTTATAGAGTTGGCAATTCAGAAAGAGGAAGATAGCGGAGGCTGCAGAGTATGGTTTGGTGTGCAAGGGGGCGGCTAGTTTGGGCATGTGCGGCCATAAGAGGAACGTGCCCCATGCTTCGAAAAACCTCGCATGGGATACAACGTAGACGAAGTTGCGGTAACGAGCTTCCCGAATACAGAACAAACTAGTGTATCGAAGGGCTCTCCTGCCCCAGTTGGCGGCGGCGCCCGAATCGCAAGACGACAGGGCGTACGGGGAGTATGTAGTGCAAGGAGGGCACAGCATGGGCATTCTCGAATAACTCAGTCAGTAAATAGGGTGTCTCTGGGGAAGGATGGTGTTGGGAGGCGCAACGTGGACATTCCTGAATGACTCCAATCAATAGGGTGTCTAGCCTCGAATGGTGTTGAGGTATGCACATTTGCAACAAAATGCAAGTGGTGATATAGGAGCGGTCGACAGGCTGTTTGCGATGCAAGTCAGGGTAGCTGAGGTGGACGGGCGATTGAGCATGTGCGTACTATCAATATGAAACATTTACACGTTTCTTCAAATGTGCCTGTGGTCTGCAGCCAGTCTGCATACTGAAAGATATCTGTTTGAAGTATATATTTCCGTGGAAAACGGCACAGTGTTAAGGAGTATTGCTGTATGGCACAGATAGGGTACACAGTCGGTCTAGATTAAGATGGGGGACGTCAGGAGGTATACCCTCTTAGGACGTACCCCATCGGGACTTAGCTATCTGCGTGCCCCCAGGTTGAGGGCAATCCGCCTCACCTCAGACCTGTAGCAGACCCGCTTCTGCAATAACAAGCAACCTTCCCATCTCAACGTGCTCGTGGACAAGAGTGTCTACGGCAGAATCTACATCTACTACATCTAGGAGGCAAGCCACCGTCGGGCGGGCATTCCTTTAAACTTGGCGTCAATCTGGCAGGCACGGTAAGAGAGAATTGGACGCGATTCTTCCCTTTTCGTGCGCCGAGGCACGCTTTGCTCACGACCACCACGTTGCTTGTTGTTAGGTCTCACCACCCACGAGAATTTAGACTTCGCCCTTATTGGCGATTACCTGCGGGATGCCGGCTCATGATGCTTTCGCTCGTCGCTCACGAGACTGGGACCTTGCTAGTGATACGCGCATAGGAGGGCGCCGCGGTGATTCTCCCGATTTTTCTTACATGAAATGCCCATCACGAGCCATTTTGTCTGCTTCGGGAGTGCATGAAGTTCTTTCTGTGGCGGATACGTTGTGGCGGCAGCGGCCTGAGCTGCAACCCCTGTTTAGTGGGGCTCGAGATGACAGCATGCTCCCCGCTTCTACTACTGCTCCTACTGCTTTTGTGCCGGCTTACCGGCCTGCATCCGCCGACTTCCCCGTGGTGCTCTCTGATTTGACTCCACGTATTTCGACATGGCGAATTTTATGTGTACACAAGTTGGGCGTTCGATACACCACCGATCTGCCCTTCATTTTTCGAGAACAACTCACTTTTTTTTTTGGGCCATCGGCTATGCATGTAAAAGACCTCGAGTTGGAGCCTTTGCTGCCGCGCAAACCCACTGCGGCCTTTCCCCGCACCTCAGCGCCTGTTGCGGCAAAACGTCGTGCTGCGCTGCGCGAGTTTTGGACAGACAAACTAGTCTCCTCGTAAAACACAGGCCCTTATGTGCTAGCTTCTACTGCTGTTGGTACATGGCATGGAGTGCTTCTGGATGCTTTTTATGATTGGTTGGATCCGCTTCAACCAAGGGTACATCAAGCTTTTCTGGCCGGGCGTATGCTCTCTTGCGGATATCTTCGCTTTCCGTTTGGACCCAGGCAGGACCCTCCGGCCGTTGCACCCACTTTTACCGCGTCTTATGTCCCTGGCTCTGCTGTCCCCGGCTCTGCTGTTGCCCCCACCGCCGTGGCCCCCGCCATTGCTGTTTCTACTCGTGATCGGGAATACCCCGGTTCTCTCGCTTTTCTTTCAGAAGCAGAAATGTCGGAGAAGTCGGAGGAACTGATGGACTTTGAAGAAGAGGAGGTGGAGAACGCGTCCCAGTCTTCACAGGTGGAGGACGCATCCCAGTCTTCCCCGGACCGTCGTGAAGTCTATGGACAGGGCCTTCTTCGCGACATCGAGGCGGCCCGCCCCAAGGCTCTGGCTGCGGCTTACCGCTCGGGCAGCATCACCCTCCGGGACATTGTGGACGCGGCCCGCCTTTCCTCCCCCCACCCCCTTGCCGTCCCCACTGTTGACTTTGACCTAGACGAGGAGGAGTTCGTGGAGATGTCTAACGATGAAGCCGACGCGTGGACACAACTTCAGACCATCTTCAACCAGCGGCTGCAAGCTGAGCTCGACCAGGCGGCGGAGGACGCGGAGCAACGGGCCCGAGAAGAGGAGGCCGCTCGGAGGGCTCGGGAGCTAACAGCTCAGCGGGAGAGGGAGGAAGAAGCTGCGCGGGCCGTGCAACGGGAGCGGGAGCGCGAGGAAGCGGAGAGGCGCGCGATAGAACAGCGGCGAGCGGCCAGGAGGCAACTATACAACGACACGGTGAAGGCTCGCCACGAGTTCGAAGAGAGGAGGAATCGTCTTCGCCCCGTCGAGACATCGGCCGCTCAGCCCCCCCCCCCGTGTTGCCTGCCTCCTCTGCTCCTCGCCGGGTCGTCACCTCTCCGCGTTCGCCCAGCCCCGACGTGTCGCCGTCTCAGAAGGCAGCATCGACGCATCCACGACCTGCTACGAGCTTTGAGGTCACCCTCGACAACCCACGGTCAGCAGCCACATCCCCGCTCTACTACCAATTCCTTGCTGCCGACGTTGCCTTTCTCGGTCGCCCCCTCGATACGCCAGCGGCAGACATCTTCTTTCACCAAGAGGACGAACACGAGGCTCGCTGGATTTTATCGGCGGCACAGGGCACCGCCGGTCCTTCCTTCCCGGACTCCAGGGCGTCCTTCGCGTGCGTCTTCAATGATTGGTATCTGGGAACACTCCCCACCCCCGCCGTGCCGACCTTATCCGCCTTCTGACCGCACTCAGGCGCGCAACATTTAAGGAGGGCCAGCAGGGCTCTTCTCTCGTTACTGGGCCGGACCAGATCCCGTTTGCCAGATCAATCGGGAAGGACTCACGCTTCAGGCAGCAAGTTTCTCCCCGGCTTAACGAGAAACATTGCGGGAACCAAGCGGCGTCGACCAAAGCTTCGAGGAAGGACCGGTGGGGCACACAAGGTTCGGTTGTGTCTGATGGTGAGAGCGCTCGCGGGGGTCGGACGCGGCGTGACGATGGTGGGAGAGCTCGCGGGGGTCGTGCGCAGGGTAGCGAAGGTGGGAGAGCTCGCGGGGATCGGCACTCACGCCAACGCCGGAGCCGGAGCTGGAGCCCCCGGAACGGCCGTCGCGACCATCGCCGAGATGACAGACATGACAGGTCGTCATCGTCTCGACTCACCAGCAGCCGGAGCCGGAGCCCGGGCCGGAACAGGAGCCGGGAACCACTCAGGGCGGGCGGTCGTGGTCGCAACAGGGGGGGACAGGAAGAACGGAAGTCCAACCAAGGAAACAGGCAAGTGAGGTGTGATCGGGACGATTTTCGTAGCTCGGGATTGTTGGGAGAAGACAAAGAAGCTTCGGAGGACGATTCTCTTGGTTTTTCCCCTCACGCTCCTCGTGCGCCTGCTGTTAGAGCCGCCCCTTCCATGCATTCTCTGGCGTTCAAGTTAGCCAACAAACAACTCCGAGATCATTCAGTTGCTGTGAAAGGTTCTGTCCCGCCCCTTGTTGTTCAAGACCCCCCCGTGCCTTCCATGCCTCCGAGAGACCGTGCTGATTCGTCACACCGTACGCCCTCACAAGCGTCTACTTCCGCTTCCCGTACTGGAATGCTGTTGGAACAAGTACTTTCGCTCCTTCGATCCCAAACGCCGGGCCATGTTGTTGATGCCGACGCCAACGCCGATGTGCAACCGCTTGCGCCTCAACCAGCACCTAGACCGTCGCTTGCCTCATCTATTTCGCCGCGAACGGAGTTGGTCCCGGGGCGGGGCCATCCTTCGATTTTTTCTGACGCTACAGTAGGCACAGGGACACCTGCAGGACTCGCATCCATCAAGGCGCAGGAGGCATCGCGTTCGGAGGAGAAGATGGCGGTTCCAGTCGCCGCGGCCTCCCTCTCGCAACCTTTGCAGGAGCCCCCTCCCCCCCTTCAGCGTGTGTCTCTTACGTCTCAACCCGTCCTTACAGCTGACACCGTTGTCTCGAGGCCAGGGCAAGGCGCATCGTTGCAGGCCCAGGACGACGCTGGTTGGCCTCTCTCTTCCACGGGAGCACGAGCGAGACAAGACGCTTTGGATGCTGCGGACGCCTCTGCAGCGGAGGCTGACATCATTCGCATTCAAGACAAGATGGACAAGCTCAAGCCGGATTCCCTTGACAGTATTACTCGCTTTCCCCTTGGCCCCGACCCTGATGAATTTGCTCGCTTCGCGTCTAGCTGCCAGGCGGTGGTCATCGAAATTCTCGACAAAAGCGATGTCAAGAAACAGCAGACTTTCACCTCCCCCACCTGGGTCCGCGGATGGCTTCCTTTGTTGCGCAAACGTGTTCGCTCTGCGGTTCTTGAAGGCCAAACCACCAACCGTGCCACCATGGAATTCCTCGATGCCACCTTTCAGCAGGTAGAAAATCATCTGCGCAAGGAACCAGCTGGGCCTTCGACGTATGCCTTCTTCATCCAAAAGTTGGCGGCTGCCTGGGACACTCAAGACAAGAGCTCGGGGATTGATCGTCTTCGTAGTTTTGGCGTGTCCAATGGCGAGACCTACGGAGAGTACATTCGTCGCTTTAAGGCGTTGACCATGACTGTCATGGTTTCTCATCACGCATTCAAGCCTTCGGATGCGCAAGTGCAGATAGCCGTTCGAGACTCCATGTTGAAGCAGTTCCCGGTAGT